TGTGAGTTACCGTAATCGTTTGGTCTTCTTTCTTCTGAATATCCTCTGCTCCTTTTGTCAAAGTGCACTCAGGCTGATTCAATTACTTTAGAATCACGCTTTGACAGAATAAATTATATTTCTTATCTCCGTTTCTATTGTTAGTCTTACTCTTAACATATTAAACGTTAGGCCTATGTCAATTGTTAGGCCTATTACCTTTACGGTAGTTAACTTCACGCCGAACCTTTCCTTTTGTAACTTTACTTCGTTCTGTTATTATCTGTCTTCTGTTTCGGCTCGTCTCACGCTATTTGTATTGTTACGTCTCCGTTTGTTAATTGATTTCCCGTAAATTCGTTCCGACGAAACTTTAGCGACACAAGTCCTTACTTAATAAAACTGGTTTATTCTTTCTGAATATAACTTCACGACACACTTGATTTCAACAATCACGCTAAAACAAACGCTATAACGAACGTTAACTTCAACGATACTTTCTCACTGCAGATCAATTACTCACTACCTACACACACATTACCTCGTCACGTTGTCACCCTCTTTTATATACCAGCCTACCCTATCTAGTAAATACTAGAGCATTCGCCAAGGTACGGGATAGTTCTAGAAACTAGAGGGCGTGAGAATAGTCACGTGATCTCGATGACGTAACAGTATCTTTATCACTTAATCGACTGTCCGCCTTCTATATTATCGACGTTAATGTATGGCACATGACTTTCGATAGTCTCAACATCAATGACTTATAAGCATACCTTCCTACAATCGTCTGCTTTTAACTCTTATTATCACAAAAACTAATCAATAGTAAAATATTCACTCACAAAATATATTACTCAATAATATCTAAACTACACAGTCTTTCATATCATGAAAAAGTAATACAAACTAAAACTGATACAGACTGAAATGTACTGAAAGTATAAAATGAAGTGTATAGACAACAAAGCTGGAAAATCTGGGGGGGGGGGGCGACCAAGGAATAACATGAACTTCTGAACTACAGGTAAGGTACAGGTTGATGAACATCAAAAGAGAGTGTACGATGAAAGATATAGTTTTATTTTTACATTAGTATTGGTTCGTCTATGCTGCTTTAAATTACTATATCACAAGGCACTTAGGACTAATTTAAACAACGCTAAACTATACCTTTATATTACTGTATCACAAAATACTTAGGACCAATTTAAACAACGCTAAACTATACCTTTATATTACTATACCACAAAATACTTAGGACTAATTTAAACAACGCTAAACTATACCTTTATATTACTGTATCACAAAATACTTAGGACTAATTTAAACAACGCTAAACTATACCTTTATATTACTGTATCACAAAATACTTAGGACCAATTTAAACAACGCTAAACTATACCTTTATATTACTGTATCACAAAATACTTAGGACTAATTTAAACAACGCTAAACTATACCTTTATATTACTGTATCACAAAATACTTAGGACCAATTTAAACAACGCTAAACTATACCTTTATATTACTGTATCACAAAATACTTAGGACCAATTTAAACAACGCTAAACTGTACCTTTAGATTACTATATCACAAAATTCTTAGGACCAATTTAAACAACGCTAAACTATACCTTTATATTACTGTATCACAAAATTCTTAGGACCAATTTAAACAACGCTAAACTATACCTTTATATTACTGTATCACAAAATACTTAGGACCAATTTAAACAACGCTAAACTATACCTTTAGATTACTGTATCACAAAATACTTAGGACCAATTTAAACAACGCTAATGTTACGTATTAGAATTTCAAATGGTCTGAAACTGAGCTACATGATACTTTAAATTTAGTAGTTAAATTGTACTTTGGATTTAGTAGTTAAGTAAAAGCCGATATAAGTCAGTTTATAATATTTGCCAACAAGATTGAAACACACAGTTTTCTTTTTAACACATATACGTTTTAATATAGACACAACAATAACAGTTATTGCAAATAGTTATAACAAACAATGATTTATAAACAAAAGTTTCACAACTTTACAAGCAATAAAAAGTATTCTTTCTAGTCTGGAACTTCCTTGATATCTTATCGAGGGTTCACGATGAGCGAGTTAATTACGAGTTGACGTAGGTACGACTCACTTAACGGGAAGCTAGCTAGCTTTGTCCTTATTTATTTACCAGCCACACACGCCGAGTTTTCCACAATGAATTTATATAATGTTTTCATAAAACATACTAATGTCCGATGAGAATCCACTGAAGTTAAACGATTTGTAATGTTCGAAGTTTTTAAAGATTCCTGATTAAATATCTAAAGTTTTCCGATTGGTAAGCTTTATAACAATCACAGTTATAGCTTCCAAAGTTTATAGTACACTGACTATAGCAAACTAATAATAGATACTCTTTTTTGGCGTGTCACGTTGGTTATATTTATAGGAGTATGGAGGCTTTCTGAAATGTTCAGTTTTACGTAACAATACTGGCGCTAACACTAGCATTTACGTATACACATATATTGTTGATTCCTATTCTCGAGTATCTTCTACAACTTTGGAGAATAGGCGGGAGTTT